ATCTACAGATATGGGGACCGTGTGTGTGTGTGTGTGTGTGTGTGTGTTCTGTCATGTCACCGGAGCAGGAAACAAACAAACAAACAACAACAACAACAAAAAAGTCGTCTAGAAAAAAATAAAGGCAATCAAATCTTAAGACTGGAAACAAAATGCACTCTTATCTACAGTGAAAATCTTATTTGATAATCGATGGAACGTAAGCGACCTGCGGAGCCCACTTTCACACAAACGCACACATCTGTCGCTGTCTTACATTTACAACGCGCACACACACACACACACACAAATCTTTATCCAGCTCTCGTCTTCCAAAAACGCACACTTACGCATATGCGAGCGCCACACGCGGGGTTACACAGCAGTGGGGATAAAAAGTGCTCTTACATCAAATGTAAGTGTGATGCATACGGTGGGCCCAAATAGCTATAATTATTATCATTATTTACAAACCAAACAACCACGTGAAAACCACTCGCTTCTCAGGTTGAACGACAGGAATGGCGTACAAACATCTGTGATATTATAACCTTTATATGGGGTATATTGTCATGATCAAGGTTGAAAGCAGTTAGAAAGACAAGAGGCTGCCTTTTTTTATATTTCATCACATAAAGACATTTTCTTTACAGGAGATCTGGGGAGGGGGAGGTGGGGGACAGTGAATGCAACACTGCGGCAGGTAGAGCGTCACCTACTTTTCTTTTTGTTTGGTTGGTGGATACTGGCTTCCTCACTTTGCTGCCAAGAGATGGATGAGAACATTACGACCACTCTTAACCCTAACCCAGTAAATTCGGACTAACTCCCAATGCAGAAGTGAAGAGTTCGTCTCATGTGAACAGTCCTGCGTAAGACAAAAAAATCATAAATAAATAAAAAGAACAAACGGCATCAGAAGGGGATGTTTACCACAAACAGACCTAGTATCCCTTCTACACGCCTCCTCTGGTATCCCTGCCTTCAGAGAACTGATCTCCACCGGTAACCTACCCGGCCATCACGCCAGTGTTTTGGAGTCTCTGGGAGGGGACGTGGACGAGTCTGGCCAAGGGGTTTTTCCCGCCTTCTCTGGTGACCTGCAGTCGGGTAGGTTAGACCTGAGCGACAGAGAGGCACATGTTCCTTTACGCTGAGCTTGGGTTCAAGTACAGTGATCCCACGTCTGCATTGGCACACAGATTTGACATCAGTCTGAGACGTTCACCGGGGATTTTCACAGGAAAAAGAAACAGACCGGCTCCAAATGTTTCGTCTACAGGCGTATAAGAAACTGGTTCAGCCTCTGACCCCCCCCAGCCTGCTGCTGTTAGTAGGATATCTAGCTAGAGTTGGCTATTGAGCAAGAATTTCACATCAAAGTTGAAAAGAGGCACTCTGATTGAATCAACAGTCTGTCCTGAAGTTTTGGAATCTGGGGTATAAAAGCCAGATCTGGTGCATGCCAATGCATCCCTCCCCGGGAAAGTGCCAGCTTTGCAGCTTCTGCGCTTTTTAGTTTTGCTCTTTTTATGATTCGAGTGGTGCCAACTGTGTCATCGAAATCTTGGCAAAACAAAAACAAAAACAAAAAAAAGCCACCAGGAATATTTTCCCCAAGTTATTCGAAATGTGTCTCATTCTTCCAGCTTGCATACATTCGGCTTCTCTGTATTTAGAGACATTTGTTGTTGTTGTGCTGAAACAAGAACATTCCAGTTCAGACAGAAGCACAAAGCGGATTTCGACAATCACCGATGAGACACCAGTGAATACGAAGTGTTTGTTCATTGCACTTCAGCGGTACGCTCCAGCTTAGTATACTGTTGGAACCCCAGGCTCTGACCCCCACCCCCCCCGCCCCCCCCGCCCAGGCTCTGCTCCCGCATTGACTTCATCCGCCCCTGGTGATTTTTTTTTTTTTTACAACAGTGAAAGCAGTGGCCACATTCTCAAAATAAATAAACCAAAAAAAAGTAGAAAACATTCTTTCTCGTTAAAAAAACCCCGAAACAAACAAACAGTACATTAATCAAAATTAGGCAGAGAACCTGTAAAGTGATACAGCCATTGTTCAATTCAAGACACTGGATTTATAGTAGTAGCAGCAGCACTAGCTACAGACAAATTAACGGTACACTCAAGTGTGTCAGAGAATAACAACAACCAAAAGGAAAATCACAAGAGTTTCGCAGAGAGGCAGCTCTAAGTTCCACTGATCCTCTGGCAGTGTCTGCTGGATAACTCCTTTCCTTCCCCTATCCCCCCTCTGGAAAGACCCCCCATGTCCGTATTGGCCCTGTTGTTAGGCCCTGCTGCACAGCATTCCTCATCTCCCAAACAGACAAGCACACATCTGTCTAACCCCTCTAGAAGCTGTAAACAAAATTCCCCTCAGATCTCTGATGCATGTCAGGTTTTTTTTTTGTTTCTTTCTTTTTCTTTCTTCTTTTCCTACGGAGGTCTATTTATTTCTATCTTTCAGGTCCTTGCCTTGGTTTTCCTTTTCCCTGTTTTCTTTTTCGTACTTGTCCTTGTCCGACTTGGTCACGCTGTTGTAGGAGGGCGGCGACGCTGTGGAGGGGGTCATGTCCGTCTTGTCTGTGGTGGAGTTCTCGTTGAACTTGCTGATGACCATCACGTCCTTGTCGGGGTCGCGGATGCCCTCCTTCAGCTGCTCCTTGTAGAGGGCGGAGGCCTTTTTCATGGCCAGGCGGATCATGTAGCGTCGGAAGGCCCTCTGGATGATTATGGCCGCCATTTCCTCCTGCTTGCGGCGCAGGGTGGTGGTGATGGGTTCGTAAGACACCTTGGAGGGGTTGGAGGCCATGAAGCGGTCCTCCATCTGTCCCCGCAACACGTCCATCTCGCCGCCTTCCCCCAGCACTCGCTTGGTGAAGGCAAACAGGATGTCGAGGCAGTGGATGCGCTCGCCGCTCACCATGGGCAGGTCCATGGAGATGAGCTGGATCATGTTGGGCTTGGGCATGCGCAGGGGGGGGTCCAACGCGTCGGCGAAGTCCGACAGCTTGCTGTACTCCATGAACTGGGTGGCGTCGGGGTCGAAGCGCTCCCACACCTCGTAGAACATCTCAAAGTCGTCCTCGCTCAGGGGCTCGGCGCTCTCCTCCGTGGCCACGCTGAAGTTCTCCAGAATGACGGCGATGTACATGTTGACCACGATGAGGAAGCAGATGATGATGTAGCTGACAAAGAAGAAGATGCCCACCGACGGGTTGCCGCAGTTGCCCTTGTAGATGTTTCCCGGGTGTTCCAGCTGGCTGTCGCAGTCGGGCTCCCTCTTGTTGAGGATGGGGGCCAGCAGGCCGTCCCACCCGGCTGAGGTGGTGATCTGAAACAGACAGATCATGCTGTTCCCAAAGGTCTCGAAGTTGAACATGTCGTCGATTCCCGCTTCTTTCTTGACGTAGGCAAAGTTGGACATGCCGAAGATGGCGTAGATGAACATGACCAGGAAGAGGAGAAGGCCGATGTTAAAGAGAGCCGGGAGGGACATCATCAGGGCGAAAAGGAGGGTCCGGATGCCCTTGGCGCCTTTGATGAGGCGGAGGATGCGGCCGATCCGGGCCAGTCGGATCACCCGGAACAGCGTCGGGGACACAAAGTACTTCTCGATAACTTCCGACAAAAACATACCTGCAAGAGCAAGACAACTCAGGTTCAGATGTGAGACATTTTCTGACAAGCCAACAGAGCACCGAGACCCCAGAAGTACTCCTTACCTACAATCGAAAGAATAACCACCACAAAGTCAAATATGTTCCAACCGATGGTGAAGTAATAGTGGCGCAGAGATATCATCTTGAGCGTGCACTCGCCGGTAAAGAGGACGATGAAGACCAGGTTGATCCTGTACAGGATGTTGTCCATTTGTTCCGTCTGGTCGTCCGTCTCTACCATCATGGTCACCATGTTAAGGCAGATGAGGATCATGATCACGATGTCAAAAGCCTGCTTTGTTATGAAGTCAAACACACAACCCTGAAATGCATTCTGGAGGAGAGCAGGGAAGACAAGAGAAGAGCGTTAGTTCATCGATTTTCTGTACAAATAAACGATCTGAGGCAGGATTTTACCGTTGGCCGTGGAATAGGTTTCTGGGGTTTCTTGGAGCCCAGCTTCTTCATGGCATTGTAATATTTCTTCTGTTCTTCTGTCATGAATATGTCTTGACCTCCCAAGTAAAGGGGAAAAACAACAGGAAAGGCTGGTTATAACCTCATTCTGCATCGTGTGGAGGGATGCCAGCATTCATGTCATTTTTGGAACCCGAGGCTCTATTTTGCCATTTCTGGTTTTCAGTACAAACGGCTTCCACTTCAATTCTCACACATTTAAGCATTTGTAGATTTTAGGAGGACTGCGAATAAGCCAATCAGCCAACTGTTCCCACGCTGAGCCATGGAGTAGACCACCAGTTCCCTGTACTTTTCCCTGCCCTTTCTCTATCGCTGTTAAACAAAGCAAACGAGACGACAGGACTGGTGGATGTCAGAGAACACGATCCTCACATTGCTGCGCTTTCTGCCCACCATTGTCAAAACCAATCCAGCACAATAATGCGGCTATAAGGGCTCGGACAAAGCAGCTGCTTTCACCCTGTTAGAATTGTACTACAATTTATTTTGCATCTCTATGACTGCATATTTACGTAAATAACTATATCATTTATTTCCTACATATGTATATAAAAACAGATAAGAGCACAAGGCTTTTGTGCACTAAAGACTGCATCTGTGCTGAATACTAAATGTGAAAAATGTCCCCCTCATTGTAATAATTACCAGAACCGCGTCACAGGCAGGCTGTTTCTAAATTGCTATAGATTTCAGCTGACAAAGTCAACATGCTGCCACTGACTCCCTCCTCGGTATCACAGTCTCGGAGCTGTTTGGCGAGTGTATCATGTGTGGCTGGAGGGAGGGCTGGTGTCAACACCCAACAACCCGTCTGCGTGATGCCTTGGCTGAGGGGCTGATGCACCATGCAGACTCGTACAGTGTCTAATTCAGTCCAGACAGATGCCCAGCATGCAGCAAACGCACTGCAAACCACCACACACATGCGCATACACACACACACAGGCACACGACCCCATGTCTCTGTCTGCCCCCCCTTCCCTCCCATCATCTCTGGGCGTTGCCAGTTGTGCTCGTTAGCTTTTGGATGAGTGGAGGGTGCGTTTTGCGGACTGTATTTGCTGCGACACTCCCGTGTGCGTGCAGGCAGGGTGTTTCTCAGTGACTCTCGCTGTTCAGCGGACGATCAAGGATTTGCTTTGAAAATGGCCATAGCGCAGATTCAAAGCTATGTGTGGCAACAGGGGTGTCCCGCTCTGGTCCAGTGCGGCAGGTTTTAGTCGTTTCCCTGCTTCTACACGGCCTATTCTGACTAAATACACCTATTCTAAAGATGCTAAGGGTACAATGATGTGAATTAGAGTGCGTTCAGCAGGGAACCATCTAAAACCTGCAGGACAGTGGCTCTCCAAGACCAACTTTGGACACCCCCTGTCTAACGCACATGGCTTTTGTCAGTGTTATTGTTGGTGTTTATCGTTGCAGATGTGGTTGGCTTGTATCTTCATGGTTCCACAAACACTTGAACAACTCATCTTTTTCTTCTGCTGGTTGAAGTTGTCGATGATGACACCGATGAAAAGGTTGAGCGTGAAGAAGGATCCGAAGATGATGAAGATGACGAAGTAGAGGTACATGTACAAGTTCACTTCATAATCGGGCTGATCCTCCAACTAGAAGGGAGATAAAGAATGCATTAAAACCCAATGGTTTGCGTTTCAGTCCTTTCAAATCCATGCATCTGAAATGTACTCCAGACTTACATCTCGAGAGTCCACGGCTGCGTACATGATGTCCATCCAGCCTTTGAATGTTGCCTAAGTGCAGATTACAGAACGCAAAGAGTTTGACCCTGCATCCCACGTCATTCTGATCAAAAGAATTTGCACGTTATGAGAATGTTGTTTTAAAAATGCATTTTCGGATTCAAGCTGTGCGTTTGGGGAAATTGTGCTTTGCATCCGCGTTTCTAGGAATAAGATGGGGACAGTCTTAACACCGTTACACAGTCCCGTTACACAGGATAAAGAAGGTCTTGTAAGATATAAAGATATGCCACATTACCACCAAAAGGGAACAGATAACAAGAATAGATGCCGACCGACGGGATGACACTTCTGCATAAAAACTTACCACCTGTAAAAGAGCCAAATAACCGGCCCCGACATTGTCGAAGTTGATTTTGACATTCTTCCAGCGAGCGCTGTCGTTGGCTAAATTCAGGCACTCGCTCTTGTTGTTAACGATGCTGATGGGGAAGATCTCGTCCGTGGTGGTGTTCACGCAGTGATAGTACTTCCCAGCAAACAGGTTGACGCCCATGATGCTGAAGATGAGCCAGAAGATGAGGCAGACCAGCAGCACGTTCATGATGGAGGGGATGGCCCCCAGCAGTGCGTTCACTACAACCTGGTGGAAGCAAACAGCCGAATTCAGCATTTTCCTTTAGCTCCAACATGGCTCTGTCATTACTCTAAAGGAAATGGGGACATCTGATTGGATTGACACATAAAGCCAGAGCTAAATTACACATTTAAAAAGGCAAAACCATATTATTCTAAGCTGTATTTATAATATGTGGTATGCAAACATCAAGCTCTAAACACCATATGTGTCCTACTGAGAAAATTTAACAACGTGACAGTTGGAAAGAAGAAAGGTGGATAGGTGAAAAAGCTAACATTTGATAGGTATAAAAGCAAAACAGAAAAAAACCTTAGAGAGGCGGGATGAAGTCACAACATTTTGTCTGACTGTAAATGAAAAAAGACACACAACAAAGAAAAAAATTACAGGTCAAAGGCACCGCACAAGCAATATCAGAAAACAAAGCCTGAGAACAGCTATATACACAGTAATCCATTGACACAATGTGAAAAATGTCATGCAGATAGAAGAACTGTGCTGAATTGCAAGGAGAAATAGTCACAGAAGTCATAAGGAGCATGCGCTCGGAGAGAAAAGATGCCACCTCCAACACACTGGGACATTCACCCCCACCAAACACAGACAGTTTTTATTCTAACTTCCATGCCAAAGAGTGAACACGATGTGAGAAATTAGAAAAATGCTTTCGCCCATAAATGCTGAATCATTGCCTTTAATTCTGATGTCACTGTGTATGTGTGAAAATATAAAAGCTTTCTCTTTAGGCTGAGCATCATCTTAGCCTTAGGGGAAACAGTTAGCCGGGCTAGTGTTGGGCAGGGCTAAGCTTTTATGCGTCACTCACATATTCTGCTTACTGGTCACGTAGATACAGATGGGATTTAAAATTGAGAAGTAAATGTGTGTTTTCAAGGGGCCCAGAGACAGTCATGCTGTGGATCTTGTTCGCCATTATCTTACCCTCATGCCCTCAAACCGAGATAAAGCCCTCAGGGGCCTGAGGGCTCGCAGAGTCCTCAGAGATTTGATGGCACTGAGCTCCGAGTAGCCCAGAGCATTTGCTACGAGGCTGACCAAGGACACCTAATAAGAACAAGGTCGGAGATAAGCAGGGTTAAGGGTGAGAAGTAGAAAAGAGCATCATTTGCAGTGTATAGTCTGTCAGACATCTGAAACAATAACAGAAGAGAGTAAGGAGTAGCAAAACTTTCACTTTTCAATCGCAGTAAACTTTAAAAAACGAGGCACATACGTCCACGATGAGGAAGTCCAGCCAGCACCAAGCGTTGGTGAAGTACTTGACGAAGCCGTACGCCACCCATTTCAAAAGCATCTCCAGGATGAAGACGTAGGTGAAGACCTTGTCTGCGTACTCCAGCACTGTCTTGATGGTCCGCCGCTGCTCGATGTAGACATCCTCAAACGCCTGCGCATCACCCATACAATTTGAAAAATTACAACACCCATGCCTCATTTTTCCCCCTTTAATTTGAAAAGCTAGTAAAAATCATAAGAACCAGATTATCTACGTTATGTCCCGATATGTAGCATTAGGGTGAACTTCACTATCTATGTGGCTGAATGATGTCTCGGGCTTACCAGAGCCCCACTGCTGAGCAGGATCATGAATATGATGAAGGATTCAAACCAGTTGTGCTCCACTATGATAAAGCAGGTTTTTCGGAGTGTCCACCAGCTCTTAAAGTTGCCCCCCTCCTCGTTGACCTGACAGCACTGGAACCTGCCCACGCAGCCTGCAGGGATGTTGTGGAGACAGGAAGCAGACCCGTTTAAACAGGTGATTTGCATCGGGATGCATCATACCTGCACAAGGACAGCAAGTTTGCAGGCCCCTCATTTTCCACCTGGCGGTAACGGTTACTTTTCTTATTGATACGTCTAGTAGTAAAAAAACAAAAAAACATAACCACAACCCCTGGGTCGAGATTTATTTGAAATTGTAACTGGCAGGCCCATCTGGACTTAAAAGGAAAAAAAAGGGCTATTATCAGATCATTACCACGATTATTCTTGTCCATATTGACCACCCCTACCAAATACCCATGTAAATACAGTTTGTGTCAGATTGAATGTCTCCATTATTCTTTTTGGCCCACATTCCAACAATACGTAATCCGTCCAGCCACCCGCATACCACACTCACCCTCAGTAAAGCAGGCCTCAGGGTCCAGGGACTCCTCTGGTTCCAACTCTATTGAATCAACCCCATCGCCGGGAGGCCGAATATCAACTGTGCTCCCCTCCGATGAGCTTAGAGGCTGGGGCTCCACGTCGAGCTTCTGCACCGACAGCGCAAACAGATCAAAGAATGCGTTTAAACAGCAATGTAAAGGATCACAGCAGGCCAGTAGTTACAGGAGCCAACCTTCTGAGCTGGTTATTATGATTGTCCATTCGCATGTACTCCAGTGCCACAACTGTGTACATTAGTTAGGAGAGCAGGCACTGGAAAAGCTCAGAGTTGGGCTCTTCAAACGAACAAACACATGCAGCATCGATCAAATGTACCTACAGGCTTTGGCATTAGTTTTATCTGATGGCTCAAATCAGATTGCGTGGCCAAGGGGAGGTTGGCGTTACAGAAATGCACTGTGGGTACGTTTGATGTGGCCTCGGTTCGAGGAAGAGTGCATGCATTATTCCAGTGCATTATCAATCCAAGCCTGAAATAGTACCAAGCAGAACGTGTGCTCAAGTATTTTCATGTCCACTGACCGCAAAGCAGTTTCTCCATTATTCATCCCAAAAACGTTCTCTGACGAGTAACTCTTCTCCCACCCTTTAGCATACAACCCGCCCCACAAAAAAAAGGCTGCCAAACGTTCCATCAGTGACATGAAAACACGTTATTTACATTCCTTGAAAGCAGTGTACAAGCTTCCTCTGTTTGTGTTGAAGTAGACGGAAACCACATTAGCTTATCAGCAAAAACCAGTACTGTGCACTGTTTAAAAGACAGCATGTGATCTGGTGTCTTTGTGCCGCCATAGGTCAACATACGGAGTTAGCACCCGTTCACACCCAGAAAACAAAGGGCTAAATGCTTAATGCTTTTTGTCCTTCTGAGGAAAGAAAAAACACATAAAAAGGACAAGTGTTACTGCTAATAAGTTGCATAAACTGTTTTGTGTCATTTTGAACCTGTCAGCACTTTCCTGAAACCTGGAAAAAGTCATATTTTAACTGTGACTTAAAATAAATACTAAAATATCATCTGCATAGAGGGAGAACTCTCTGTGATGTGAGGCCTCCTGTCAGTTTCTCTTTGGAAGAACATGGTAGCTTTTATCCTTATTTCTGATCTGTCTGGGGTTTAAAGTATTAGTACATGTCATCCTAGACAGTGCAGCAGCCCTGATTGCCGTGGGACCCAGCTAATACGGCATGGGAATGATGGAAGCATGCTGCTCGCAAGTGCATCCTTTTTCAGGAAGGGAGTTTCCCTTCCGCACTCTCTTCTTCAGCAAAGTCAGCCCCATTTTATCTTCTCTGGATGTGGAACACAAGGTTTTTATTATGTTTTAGAGCATCATAACTGGTAGATTTTATTGGCAAGGATATGAGATAATTGCAGTGAAACAAAAGTGGATAACAAGGGCATGGAATAACAGAGCCAAATTACAATATTTGGATCTAAATACCATATGTCGTAGCATTTCAAGGGAATTCAGATGTTTTTTTAAATTAAATATTTTAATATCCAAAGGGGATGGAATGAAAAAAAAGACATTTTTCGCCATGTCCTCATTTAATTTATACTATAAGGTGTTATCTCTTTTGTGGCCCTGCAAAAATCCCCATGATTGATCCCAGTTCAAAATAACTATGTAAAAAAAAAACTTTCATCATTCCACTAACATTCTAGTTACACAAATATATCTTATGTAAGTATGTATGGGCTATGAACCAGTCATAAATGAATTTTGTCTAACTACAGCAAAATTCATTCCTCCGTTAATTCTTTTTTCCTGTATATTCTCCTCCGCCTCCTTCTCTCTTCCTTCATTCTCAAGCATAGCGTTGGATGCCAATCAAGTCCCAAAACCATGTCAAAATCCAAGCAATGGAATCAAAAGCAAAAGGTCATGTTGAATGAGTTTGTCTTTCGATGACAAAAACAAAAAAGGGTGGTGTTGTTCATTCTTAATGGTTTGTAACTGCGATACAGCCTGATGCTTTGAGGTAAATCATGAGAAGGAAACGGGTGGGGTGGGGGAGGAGGTTAAAGGAGAACTGTACAGCCTTGACAGTGCTGCTGTATGGGACAGGGGATGGGCATAAAGCAAAGGAGGTGGGGGGGACGGAGGGCAGACCAGGCAAAGAACGAAAATGGGCAATCCATTGAAGGTATGAGAAAAAATATGTTGTTTGTCTGTAAATGGCAGAGGCAGTCCTCATGGTTAGTGCTATGGTACAATAAAGTGATCTTACAATGCTCTTCTCACTGAAAACCTTGAGAGCGCCTGTGAAACAGCTGCAATAACAAACGGGGGGGAGGGGGGGTTAAACAAAGTCATACACACCAAAAACCAGCATACAATCTCAAATCTGTTATTTTTGGTTAGCCAGGTTTGTTATAAGACAAAGTGGGGAAACAATTAAGCCTCTAATCTCACATAAGCAAAGAAAAAAACAGCAAATACTTATTATTCAGGTTTTAAATGTCGATGTTCTCCATCTCAGATTTAAGAATATGATATCAAGCTTGACCACGCAGAAAATATCTTGTCATTTATTAGTGCAATTCACCAAGCCCCAGCTACAGGTTGGAGAAGAATTGTATGTTCTGACAGCCAAATAAATAGAGCACATTTACATTTACACTGCTCCCACTAACCCTTTTTTTCTGGCAATATATTAATAAAAGAAGGCTGGATGAAGACGTTTTCAACGCTGTGTAGCAAAAAAAACGGTGTCTCAAAAAACGTAAAAGAAGAGCTCCAATAAGCTGATCGGAACACAGTAAACAGAGAAGCTGTGGTGCGTTTAACAGCGAGCAGCAGAAGATTTCCTCTGAAGCCCAGTTGCATAGGAGCCCTCATTCTCCTCAGTAGGCGCTGTGGCTCAAACTGTTCGAATGTCTGGGACTCTTTTGAAAAGGCCATCTCTACGCCACCGTTGGAAATCTCACACACCGACCGGCAACAGAAAAAAACCAACAACGAAACAAAGGCTGCGTGACGCTGACTTTAGTCGCGGATTCTTTCGCCTTACCTCTTTACTGCCCTCCACATCTGAAGAGTCGCTGCTGAAATCTTCCGTGTTCAGGTTTTCGAAGTCCGACTCGCCCACGGCGATGGGCACGGTGACTGTGAGGCTGGGGTTGTGAATGAAGGACATGTAGTCACACTCATCCACCGGGTACTTCACCACCGTGTCCCCACCCACCCCCACCACCAGCCCTCCTCCTGGCCGCCCGTTGCCCTCCATCATGTAGACCCCGGTGGAGTCTTTGGTGATCTCCAGCGTGTGGTTGGAAATGCAGTTGCCCTTGCCGTTGCTGTGCAGCTCGTCCAGGGGTTTGCTCTCCTCGGCCAGGCCGGAGCCCTTCCCGCCTCCGCCAAAGCAGAGGCTCTGGAGGAACTGCCGGACGGCGCTTTTGATGAAGGCGATGCCCCGCTGGATGCGCCCCACGGCGATCTGCAGGTTGTTCATCTCGCTGTCTTCGTCCGTCGCAGCCAGGTTGTCGGCACTGAACGAGCTCAGGAGGAGGGCCAGGAAAAGGTTCAGGACCTGGGCGGGATGGAAAGCTCGTGAGCGAAGCAACAGAGGCGCAGAGCCTGGACCACAATCGAACTCAAGAGGAGAGCGCCATACCACCAGGTTTCCGATGACCATGACCATCATGAAGACTATCAGACACATGGACTGCTCCGCCACCTCCATGCAGTCCCACATGGTCTCGATCCACTCCCCGCACAGCACCCGGAACACGATGAGGAAGGAGTGGAAGAAGTCGTGCATGTGCCAGCGAGGCAGCAGGCAGTCGTCTGAAATCTTGCACACGCACTCCTTGTAGCTCTTTCCAAAGAGCTGCATGCCCACCACGGCGAAGATGAAGACGATGATGGCTAGCACAAGGGTCAAGTTGCCCAGAGCTCCCACCGAGTTCCCAATGATCTTGATCAGCATGTTGAGGGTGGGCCACGACTTGGCGAGCTTAAAGACCCTCAGCTGGAGACAGGAACAACAGGGATGGGTCACCTTTGGGATCCAACCTTAAATCTATATCTGTAATAAATAGCCCCAATGAAGTGTCCAATTCATGGACTGAAATGAACTATTGTCTCTTGCTTTCTTGCAATAAATAAGGAAAAGATTAATATATATATATATATATATACTTCCATATATTCTATAATATGTCATGCTCCGTTACAGTGAGTCAATCAGTCCTCACACAGTCTCTGAACTGATATGAGAAAAGGTTTTTGGGGTGAAAATAGAGATAACATTCCGTTTTCCTCTTTTAATAAGATGGCACATCTTACCAATCTAAAGGACCTGAGCACAGAGAGGCCTTCAACGTTGGCCAAGCCCAGCTCCATCAGACTTAGACTAACAATTATGCCATCGAATATATTCCAGCCCTCCTGGAAGTAATAGTAAGGATCCAGGGCGATAATCTTGAAGCACATCTCAGCTGTGAAGATGCCTGTGAACACCTAGAGACGAGGAGAGAGGAGAGAAAAAAAAACTTCACCCAACGCTGCACCATCACCAGCAAGACATTTCTCTGTTTCACGGAACTTTTCAGGGAATACGTAAATCACTACTTGCCAGGTTTCCAACTGTGAGGACGTTGTCAAATTCCTTGGTCATGGGGTAATGCTCCATGGCCATGAAAAGAGTGTTGAGGACGATGCATATTGTGATGGTTAGGTCTACAAATGGGTCCATGACCACCATGCTGACCACATCTTTGATCTTCAGCCATGCGGGACAGCAATCCCAGATCAGACAAGTGTTTGCAAATCTGTACCAGCAGGGTGGACACTTCTGCCTTGACTCTTCCAGCTCTGGGAATGGAATGGAGAAGAAAATCTGACATCTGTCACATGCAATGTGGTTTAACTTAGAATCCAGGTGACCGAGTCTCCATCTCCCTTTTCCCCACAGGAGAGGTTAAAGAATGTAATGCAAGTTTCGGTATAATCCGAGCAGCTTTTCTATTTAGTACTAACTGCTTTGCGCAGCATGATGAGATGTGTCAATAGTTATCTCTCGCTAAGAATTTCCACACCTGGAGACACTTATCCCAACACGCCCTTTGAACAAGGGCAAGATGGAACAAACCCTTCAATAGAAGGTAAAAAGGGAAGATGGACAGATCCTAACCTTCCATGGTGTTGGTGAGGATGCTGGCCACACTCATGGCTCTCTGCCGGCCCCCCGGCTCATCTAAATAGTCCATGGATGGCTGAAGGAAACCCGAGCGGCGCCTCTTCATCTCAGTATCTGTAGTGGTTCCCTGGAAAAACAAAAAATAGTTATTCAGTTGTACTTCTTCTAAATGTTTCTGTGACCTCTACGAGCTCTGCTTCGTTTTCTTCCCTGGAGGCGTCTGTCTGGACGGAACGAGTGGCTCACGTGACATTTGTTTACCAATTCAGAGCAAAAAGATGTGAACAAAAAGGAACTAGTGAGGGGGTGAGAGGGGAAAAATAAACCATGAAAGAGTTAAGTCACCTCGGGCAGCAGGAGACCTACAGGAGAGGTTGTTACGGAAGTTCCAGCGACCAGCGACACCACGCCGTTGCAGTCCACGGCGCAGTGCATCTTGCCGTTTGCGGGCAGCATGATCCGCGGCGCTCCCAGGCTGGTCTGGCTGACGGCGCTGCAGCGGCGCTCCAGCCGCCGCGGCAGGAACAGGGAGCCCCGCCGGCTGTCGCTCTCCTCGAATGTGCTGTGCTCGTCGTCGGCGAAGTCGTTCTCCGAGCCCATGTCGCGGGCTCGCCCGCGGAAGCTGAAGAGGCTGGCGCGGCTGTTCCTCCGCGGGGAGAACAGGGAACCCCGAACACTCAGGAGAGACTGAGAGGGAGAGAAAATAGTTTTTGGGATGCAGGTGTGATTTATAACTCATAAAGAGTTAAATTTAAGCTCAAATTCTCAGTCTAAAAAGCATGGCAGGATATGAAAATCATGTGTAAATGGGTGGATTTATTTGTTATTCCACTTTTTTGGGGGGGGTCAACATCTAATAATATCTGGTAGACTTCTAAAAGTTACCTGGTTGGGTGAGGAGCATCTTTTCTCATAAGAAAGCCTGTTGGCATCAATGGAGAAGCGGAAGCTGGACCTCTTGATGCTATCCTCAGACTCAGACTTGTGGAACTTGTCGCGCACCCCTCTCTCCTCCTCCTCCTCCCTCTGCTTCCTCTTCTTCCGCCTGTTGCGCCGCTCCTTGGCGCTTTTGGAGCTCAGCTTCGACGTCCCCGAGGAGGACTCCGAGGTCGGGCCCCCTCTCCCGCTGTATTCTCCGCTCTCGGTGGCCGCTGCCGCGGCAACCTGCCATCCAATCAGAGCACAAACACCGTCGTCATGGTGACACAGTGCCCCGTCTCACAGGCTCTTGTGGATTTGAGCGGAGAGAGAGGAGAGGAGCCTGGCGAGCTGAGAGAAACAGCAACAACGCACACGGCCAAAACAGCCTCAGACGCCTTCTAAAAATGGATGTCTGAATGTTCTCAGAGCATAACGTTTCTTATATTTAGGCAAGAAATGACTTGTAATCTGGACGCAAAGTTCAACAGCACAGCTTCCTAAATATAAAAACAGAATCTTCCAGGGTGGACATGATTAAGGTATACTGGTATATTGAAAATTTAGACAAAGAAGAATCTCCAGTTTTAAGCTCATTATTTTAGAAACACTAAACACCTCAAAGCATGCGTAATGATAGTTTGAGGATTTAAGAGTTGTATGCATCTGGATGTGTGCCAGTAAGATAAGAAGGGGCTTTACGAGCAGGAACAAAATGAGAGACGCTAAAATCATACAAAAGAAGTTCTACCGGACGAGATTAAGAATGCTTTGATTGTCCACCAATGAGGTGGTGACTTGACGGACGTCATAAGGCAGCATAGATCATTCAAAAGGAGGAAGATCAGAAAAAGGTACCCTTTGAAATGCCAGGTGAACCCACTTTCCTTGACCTGATGAGTTCAGATTTTTTCCACCAAAAGTTAGACTTGACTTTTCTCTGCTCATTTTATCTATCAATTACCTTCTGTAATTACAGATAAAATTATGCGATTAGATCCTTGATTTTTGTTTTTACGAATCTGAAAAAAGCTGGTCTTAACTTGTTTTTTCCCACTATATTTGTCTGTTTGCTGGTCAAACGAGGACTCCTGACCACCGGGGAAAAGCAGAGGGGTGTCAGTCATCCATGACAATGAATCTGTATCTCCATGGCAACCTTGGCTCTCATCAATAATTCAACAACAAATCACAGCTCCCAAAACACTGTGGTTTCTTAAACATTTTCAAATCTCGGTGACCTATGTGCTTCAATATTCCAAGTGAAATTTGGGAGACAAAATTTTGGAGCAGCTGGGCACCTGCGCTTTCATTCAAGATAGATTTTGAAGACACAACAGAAAACAAAAAGGTTCATATCCTGCCTGTGCTTCCTCCTGTTGCCTCTTCAGCTGCTCCAGCATGGCCTGGAACTCCTCCTCCTTCTGTTGTGCCTCCTCGATGGTGGCCTGGTTCTGCTCGTCATACGCCATGGCAACCACAGCAAGGATGAGGTTGACCAGGTAGAAGGAGCCCAGAAATATCACCAGCACAAAGAAGATCATGTAGGGCTTCCCCGCCGCACGCAGCGTCTGTCACGGCCCAGACAAAAAAAAGAACCGCCGTCATTGCAGGCCCACTTCACAGGCAGGAATTAGCTGAACCTCAGGGAAGAGGATGTCTGTGCCAACCTGCTGGTAAAGGTTTTCCCAGAAGTCCTGGGTCATGAGTCGGAACAGGGAGAGAAAGGCCCAGCTGAAGGTGTCGAAGCTGGTGTAGCCGTAGTCTGGATTACGGCCCGCTTTGAGGCACATAAAGCCCTCTGGACAGAGTCTGTCAGAGGCACAAAGGGGAGTTGATGCAGAGTTCCACCGCACACAAACAACCAAGACATCAGCCTAATGTTACACTAAAATCAGTGATTTTAGTCATGAAGCATGTTTCCCGTCATTTAGGAGTGTTTGTTATGCATCCCCTCAGCCAGAGTTCTAGTATTTGTCTTTTTTATGTAGACTGCTGCTGCCACTCATTTAAAGTCAAGTCCATGCAGCCATTTAGATTGTTCTGTTTTTTCTTTTTTGCTTGTTTAAAAATGTCATTAACCACCAACAAGATGCCGGACTGAAGGTTTTTTTTTAACTGTTTCTGTATGATATGCCACTCATGAGTGGCTGCACCCATTTCATGTCTGCAGTAGAAAAGATTTAAGGAGCATGGGGTTCATGAAAAGCCTGATGGGATCCTTTGAACAGTTTAAATTTCAGACTACATGTAGCATTTCACATTGACTTTAAAAAAACAAAAAGGCGCTGCATGACATGGCAATTTTAAAGAGAGGTTTCTACTTTTAACACAACACATCCCATGAAGTGCAGCCATAGTTAACCAGCCATTTAGGTTCCTGTGATGCCTTGGTGCGGTGGCGAGTGTCGACACTAATTGTGTGTGCCCAGCTCTGCAGGGCAGCTAATTGGCCATATAAATAAAACATGTCAAGCCTTACCCGGCGCCGCTGCCATTCCCACAGAGCAAAGCGTCCCTGCGGCCAGGGAGGTAATAGTAATTACCTAAAGAAGAGGAGGGACAGAGGGACGGGTGGTGAGAGGCACATCAGACAGGTGAGGCAGCAGTTATGAACAGACTGGGGTGATGTTTATGTCCAAAAAACGAAGACATTTAATAAAATCTCCCTCTCTGCTTCAGCCGGAGGCAAAAAAACCCCCAAACAAAGTCACTGATGCCACAAAGGTGTTGTCCTTAAATCTCTTTGGCCCTCTTCGTCCCTGGCCCGACTTCAGCTAGTCATGGCGATCTGCTGGTGGCCGGTGACTCAGGCTGAGCCGCGCAGATGGGCAACAGGGGAGCGGCGAGGGCTGGCGAGGGCTGGCGAGGGTGGAAGCTGCCGGTGGGATTGTTGAGGCAACCACCTGCCAGATTTGCCCCGTTCTTCCACTTGGGCTCGTTGGGGGGGTGGGGGGGAGCACATGCTCCCAGCCATTTCTGTCAGCCCCCATCACAACAGCAAACCAGAGTCCGCCCCCCCCCCCCCCACCCCCTAAAACACTGCTGTCACTGCCCGTGACACATTGGGCATATGAAGCAGCTAATGTGTGACTCAGAGCGTCCGGGCGGGGGCTCGCTTGACCCCGGTTAACCCTGCTGTGTGCCTGCGCGCCGCTTACTCTCGTCGCTGATGTACTCCGTCCAGTTGAAGAAGGCCTCGGAGGCGTTCGGCATGTAACTGCTGGGCGAGTACGTGCTGCTGTTGGAGGGCACGTCGCTGGCGTTTGTGGCGTTTGTGGCGTTGGTGAAGGTGCGCACGCACTTGTGCCTCAGGTTGCCCATGAACAGCTGCAGGCCGATGAGGGCGAAGACGCTCAGGCAGAAGACGGTGAGGATCATCACGTCCGAAAGCTTCTTCACTGACTGAATCAGGGCGCCCACGATGGTCTTCAAGCCTGAGCGGGGCAGAGGGGGGCCACCGGGGGGGGGAGGGAGAAAGACATGGAACAGCCATCAGTGTCTGCCCAGAGCGGCCACCATCTTGTATAAAGTTAAAGCTGCTAATATGAGCTTACAGTAGCAGGTAGCCATGAAGGAATGCAGTGAATGTTCCTGTATGAGCAGTTAGCTGTCATACAGGAAGCAGGCTGACACAGATTACTGCTCAGTAATGTGTTTTCTTTTGTGTCTGTATTTGGGCCTGTGGGATTGTCTGGTTATGAACATCTTCTAAACATCTGTTCATAAATTAAGTCTTTTACTTTTTTTTTTTCAAAGAGGCATTTAAAAAGAGGAGCGGCAGCATAATTAGTGCACCGTCTTCCTCTGGTTATTATTTGTTGGTGTAGACAGCTCGATGTACGAGAGCATCAGGTGGAATGGACCCTGAATTAAACAGTTAAGTACCTGCTTTCTTATGTTAGGAGGTAAGCAGAGTATGAGGAGATCAGACCAAAGTCCCCAAGACCTCAGAGTACAAACGGCCATGTTTGGAAAATTAGCAAGAACCTGTTAGCATAGAAAAACTACACTAATGTGGCCATCGCCAACTGCGTTTATTTTAAATCCATGTAAAGCTGTGACAGCTAAAATCAGTAATGTGCATTATGCTGTGGTGCGATCATCTTCACAAATGAAGAGCCTGGAAGATTTGCATATTACTTTTTTTGCTAATTATGTTTGTGTCTGGATTGTGAATACCCAACCACCATACATTTGTTTTCCTATAAATAACACAAAACACTGAACAAGACATGCACAGGAAACGGGGTAAGCAGGAACCCTACACACACATACACACACAGGAGCTTGCCACAAGAAAATCGGCTTTGCAATGTCTCATGCAAAAAGGAAAATAAAGAAATAGTGCTCGAAATCTACGTGTCTTGTAAGGATCCCAAGGCAAGAATAGATTTCAACTAAAAAGAAACGAGAATTCGGCCTTGAGGGATGTTTCTAAAAGCTAGGAATCGTGTCAATCTGTGCAGATTGGGGCCAGATTCCAGCTTTTACGGGCCTTTGGACCAAGGCAGCATGAGGGACGGCGACAAGCGTCGTCAGGCTTAGCTACAGTGAGATGAGCTGAGGGAAGAGGGGGGGCAGAGGGGGGAGGTCGTGGGGAGTGTGTTTGGATGCTAGCGAAACGCCAGTTAGCCATTAGCATTTCGGTTACCCTACGAGCCTTGATGGCTCTCTCACCTGGGATGACCGATATTGTTTTCAGGGCCCGCAGAACCCTGAAGGTTCGCAGTGCTGAGACATTGCCCAGGTCCACAAACTCTGTGACATATCTGTAAGGGAACGCAGGGGGAGGGAGGAGTGGGAGGAAGGAGGGGCGGGTAAGGGGGGCATTTGGGGGAGGGGGGGGACGGGGGAGGCGTGGGACACGCACACATACACGCACACACGGGAGTCAGGCACCCACGCAAGGCAACACAAGACAAAAGTGGGGGAGAGGGAGGAGGCGGGACGGGGTCGGGTGGGGGAAAGGGGGGCGGGGGGGGGGGGGGACGGCAAACGGTCACACACAGAGGACAGATGGTAGGAGTGCTGACAGCAGGCACCGGCAGCCTTACCTGGTATTACTGAGATAGTTTTCAAAGCTCGCAAAACTCTGAATGTGCGCAGAGCTGAAACATTGCCTAGGTTTACAAACTCTGTTATATACCTGCAGGATCAAATGCACAGTTACTGCAGAGCATTGCACAGGCACACCCAGCACCCAGTCACACACGTCTCACAGGCTCACAGGAATCTCTTACAAATACACTTTCCTAAATATGACATTAGTGTGCAATCCTCAACTTTCGGGGGGGCGGACGCCTAAACAGCAGAGGGCTGCGTCCTGTAACCCCTCAAGGCTTCATGTTAGAGTTTTAATACAAATAGCCGAGGTGAGAGAAACATTTGCCCACGTGCTCCCCAGCTTTGAGCGCTCACATCCAGCAGTTTAAGGACACCGGCCCTTTTTTTCAAAACCTACAGCAATAAGCTGCAGATTGCAGCCGCTATACGCCCTTCTCTTTCTCTCTCCCTTCTTCCTCTCATGATCTGCCAGACTCGGGCAGCTGGGATGATTTGCATTAAAGGCATTTGTCCATTTAAACTATGCCAGATCGCATTTACGTGATCCTATCCACGCTGGTCATGATACTTACGCCATGAGGATAACACTGAAATCCAGCCAGTTCCATGGGTCTCGCAGGAAAGTGAACTTCCCAACACAAAAGCCTCTGGCCAGGATCTTGATGAGGGACTCGAAGGTGTAAATCCCTGTGAATGTGTACCTGGTAAACAAGGTGAGGAAGACAGGATATTAAAAAATAACCCAGGGAGAAATGTGGATTTAGCTCCCACAGGCAATATGGCAGCAGTAGCAAATCCCTTATTCACCCGTATCAAAGCATCTCAGATTTCATTCCTGAGCCAATTTCCAGATTTCTTTCCACAAAATGTTTTTAAAAAAAGAAAAAAATATATATACAGACACACACACACAAATGAAAAGAGGAGAAACTTTTCCTGGATATAGTCACAATATATAATCAATGTGCACTTACTCTACATTCTTGGCCCAGTCCGGGGGATTGCTCAGGGTCATGAAAGCACAGTTGGTCAGGATGGTGAACATGATCAACATGCTGAACATCGTAGGAACAAAGTCAAGGTCCACAGTCAGACGGCTTCTGAATAGAAGCCGCTCGTTTCAGCTTTAAGATCATATTCGACATAGAATCAACCCACAGACACTGGGAATGCTCAAAGGATATGAGTGCACTAAGATTCTGATCGCTACCCTCCTCATTGGGTTGAAGGGGCTTAGGATGTACAAGGCAGAAGTGGCATTGAAACGGAAGATTGCCTTCCCACGATTCAATACTATGAAGGTCTGAAAGACAAAGAGAAACAGCGAAAATTCTAAATCTGCCCTGTGCTCTTTTCCAGGTGAGACAGAGCCGGCCTGTGAGTGTGGCAAAGTGCGACGCCTGTTCAGCCACTGCCTGAGGTCCAGGGCTGCTATCTGACCACACCGGTTGAGTTTATCTTCAGGCAGGACGTGTTTTTGACACCTTAGTTCAGCTGGCACACCAGCTCAGATTAGCACTTAGCACCTCGGCTGGCCTGGACTTGCTTATGTAAAATAGTTAGAAGCAGAGAGAAGACGAACGAAGCCGTGTGCACTTTAAAACTACCATGCGGTTCCGACTACGTTCTTTTAACCCATCGACCCCAATATGTAGCACAACTCTAACCGCTTTACCGGAGGGAAACTTTACCGCAGTAAGAGTGGGAGGGAAACTTCTCTCGAGCTGGGTCTAACTCTTTAAAGGTTGGGTGGGATCGTTGGGCAGTTAACTTCAGACTTTAATGTGCTCGGGAGCTTGGATTGAAAAGTGCAGACGTGTAATGTACCAGCATTCAGTGTGTGAGTCACACCATAATTAAAGCCAAATCAGTCTCCATAATAACGCTTCAAAAGGTAAGCGGCCATCAGAGCTGAGTCGAGCCGTATCTGTGCCTCTTCTTCTAATCTAACGCCTCCATGTCGGAGGAATTCCTCGGATAGCTCTGACACTGACCTTCTGATCACTGTAGTAGGGGTCAAGGTCCTCCAGAGGGGTGGAGACCAGGCCTGGAGGGATGTCCCCGTAGATGAAGGGAAGAGATTTCCCCGCCTCCAGGTCGCTGTTGGGCTTGGGCCCGTTCTCATCGTCGCTGTCGCTGCGGCGCTCTGCCCGTGGTCTCCGGGCCTCCTCCTCGGCGATGCGCCTCTCGATGGCGGCCAGCGACTCGGGGACGAAGGGGCGGAAGCTGTCAGGTCCGGGCGGTACAAGCAGCTGTGCCATCTTGTCATCCTGCTCCTTCAGAGGGCAGCGAGGGGCTCAGCTGGGGAAGGGAGCTGCAGCAGAGAGGGAATGAGGGGGAAATGAGGAGCCATAACCTGAAAATAGTCCTCACCCTGGGGGTCAAGTCACCTACCTGCTTCATGCTATACCATTACATAACATTAACACACAGGGTATTGTATAATAGTCGAAAGATTTCAACTGAAAATACAAAAACAGAAAGTGGGAAGAAAAGAAAAGAGCCCGTACAACAGCTGTTCTAAACTGGTTCCCCTCATGTCTGTGGACGTGTCTGCGAGGCAGAGAGAGGTTGATCTCTCTCTGTATATCCATATGGCTTGAGATACACAGGGCCAGACTGGGGGAGGGAAGCATGAAATTATCTTGCACATTCATCACGCAGAGCACCCTAAATAAGACGGAGGCACCTAAGGCACTGTAAGGCATATCCTATTCAGACAATGTGAATTAACACGGAGTTAAACTGACACTAAAAGGTTTTTAGACACAGATAAGTCTTGTCTTTTTGCTCCCTAAGCCTTAATGTTGGTCTTATTCACCTTAGACCTGGGTTATGAGGGACACTTTGTTTATATTTTTCATCACTTCTCTATAAAGGGAACAAAAAACCTCCTGTTCTGACATGTTAATGTGCCAAATTCGGACAGATATGAACTTTGGTACACGTGAAATTTATCAAGATATGGATGAATTTAAAAGCTGGAAGAGGAAAAACCTTTTGAAAAATAGCACTTTTGACATGCTAATGGTTCAGAGTGACTAATACCAGTCTGAGTGCCTTTCTGTGGAACACAATAGTCTGACGTTTGCGCTTTTCTAACCGAGGTCCACATGAGAAACATCACATGGAATATTAACACTTTTCACACCAGTGTGCCAGCATTTTTGGTTTAAGATGGCTCCCTGGGGACTATCTGACACACTGAATATTGAGGCAGTTAACAGCAGTAACCAAGGTGGACACTTTGACAAACAAAACATAAAGGCTGGCTACACAGGATCTGTAAAGAGCCCAACCTCTCCATTTGCCCATGAACATCTCTGTTTTAATCATTTGATTCTGCACAAATAAACACAGCAGACCCCTCTCTTTTTTCGCTTTTGGTCTTTGCCTCAATCAGCAGCCACACCAGAGTCCCCTGTCAGCTGTCTACTGTACCACCCTTCACAACCAGGGAGCAATCTTGGTCCCACAGGAAATAGTGAGAGGGAACAAACAAGAATCAACCCTGGTGAGCCATTATCAGCAGCTCCTTGGTGCTTCCCAGTCCTTGCAGTCTCACAGGTGGGGACTAAAAATGAACTGCTCGTCTCCTGGGCTAGGAACTGTGGACGATGTGATGGTCACGCAGCTGTTTAGCAGCATGCAGCTGAAGAATAAAGGTGTTGTCATGAGTCCCAGTCCGCACTTAAAGTTGTTTTGTCTTTTTTAATTTGATAATCATGGCAAGTTTATACTTCCTTCTTTTTTGTGGTAAATGTCAAGCATCTAGTGAAAAACAACATGTTGAAGTTCACCCTTTGAGGGGCTTAATAACGCACATCTGTTTGTGTCTTACGATCTGCCCCAGGACCCTGCATTGTGATGCGTGTCCAGACAGCTTGACCAGCGTGAGCGTGTTGGCTATTAAAGCCTCATCTCCCCCGCAAGCCACACATCCACACCGCCTCTGTGCTCAGCCGTCAGAGTGGTCATCCCTGAAGTCAAATGTAAAATGACAGGTGGAAACACAAGCAGCGACAGCAGACAGATCTGCCTGCGTGCTTCCTGGAAATGAGAATAGCGACAGAATCTGATTCGCATGCCATGTTTCAAAGAGTTTCCATCGTCTTAAATATGGCAATGGTTTCTGTGAATTTCAGAAAACACTCATTAAATTCTAAATGCTGCTTGTTAGCACGCTTCCAACGAGTTCACATAACTCACACGAAGGGGATAGATTCACATTGATCCAGCTTTTCTAAAAGCAACCCTCCGAAGGCCTTACTGTGTGCAAGATGCTTAGATTAAACTGCCTGATCTACATCCGATATTGGTAACAGAAATTGCCTTGTAAGCCACTGCTTTAAGACAGATCCACACACACACATCTGTACAACAGTCAAGCCTCTGTTAAGAGCCCTCGAGCAAAACGCTCGCCTGTTTTCTTTTTCTCTCCATAGGCAGATGGTTCACTGTCCATGGTGCTAAAGAGACAAGGCAGCTGCCTGAAAAGCAAACAACTCCCATAATAAATCAAGACATTTTGAAAGAAACCTACACAGCGTCTGTTGAGGCTGTTTTTTCTTTTGTCGTTTCTTTCTCACATTCATGGCCACAAATTTCTGTAGACATGCTGTCATGTTCTTAGACAGAGGCTGGAAAAAGGCTCCGAGACAACTTGGGCCCTTTTCGACAATGACATTAGCATGTATCCAACGTTCTGGTACACCGGTGTCACCGGGGGCCACTTCCGGTCACCTCCAGGCACCTTAAAGGATGTTTTCCACCTTTGGTGGCACCTGGCAGGCCAGGTAGCAGACCAAAAAAATGGGGGAGTTTTTCTTTTTAAAACCACTAAAAAAAGGCAAAGGGGGATTTTGTGGTAACAATGCGCGTCAAAAATAGGCACAGAAAGAACGAGTCGAAATCACAGACAAGGAGACGACGAAGTGTCAAACGGTACCTTAATTGTCGAGGTTTCAAACCGAGCCAGCGGGGCCGAGGCAGCTGTCGCCATGTTGATGGAGCCTCCGCGTTACTGCGAGCGCTCCAGAATTGATTTTAATGGAAAAGAAGAAAAAAAAGACACCAGAGGCAATAAATGTTTCTGCTAAAAAAAAAAAGAGAGAGAAAGAGAGAGAGAGCCTGTCGACTGAGAAGTAGCTTGGCTCTGTCTCCCCCCTCCAGAGAGCAGCCCCACTACAACCGTCAGGAGCTAACTGTCATGACCAGAAAAGCACGTCTCCGTCGATGTAAACGTGTAGCCTGCACACCGGTGAGCGACTAGCCGAGGCGGAGGGTGTAATTGGCGGCCACCCTTCACCAACCCCTCCCGGAAACCAGTTGCTAGCATAAATCAAAGCTGAGGTCCGCGTGACACCTGGAGGTCCTTTAGCTTATACGGATGAAACGGTGTAAACACTGGATATCTTCAACATCTTTAAAAAAAATCCCTCTGTATAGTTTTTTTAAGCGTTTAGTCGGCTAATTGAAAATGTCAATGACCTAATGTGATGGTAAAAAAAAAAACAACAACAAAAAAACACACATTACTAGGTAAGTATGAAAGCTGATGTCAAACGTTAGTAATAACCCATTAAATGGCTCCTGAATGGGTCTGGGCGTGGCCTTTCCCAGATGTGTGTCCATTCCAAAAATAGGAGTAGGGATTTTTTCCCCCCCCTGTCATCACAACCTTTACCTTTGCCTATTTACATTAAAAGCTAAACAACGGTTGTTTTTTTGTTTGTTTTTTGACGTCATACACATTTTGTGAATAAACATGTCAGCAGCACAAAAAAAGGGGGGGAAAAATAAAAAAGAGCCCGAAGCCATGAGGGCATATCCCTCACAGCACGTCGGGAGAGGGTGCTAGTTTTAGCACTTCGTTTGGATGTCACGACGTTGAGGTTATTTCGTTCATTTTATGTTTAGCCCTGTCAAATTTGGGATTTGTAAGAAGACCTGACTGCTCTAAAATGTCCACACCCACATGAATACGTTTAAAAATATGTTCTAAGAACAGGTATTTTTGATAACAAGGGGGGTTATGTTAATTAAACGAGGTTATGTATGCGTATCATGCGCACAAAGCGGAGGAATATCATAAAGATACACACCAAAAAAAAACATACACTGAATACAGGACCCTCCACTTACATTACACTGCGTCTGAATCACACAATAGACGTGTAATGTTCTGTACGGGCACGAGAAAGACAATGGGCTCAAATATATTTATGAATGTCCTTTGCAAAACAAAAACCAAAAAAAGGATGAGATCTGCATACCTACCACCATTATGGTGTCCAGCAGGTGGGAACCCTGAAGGCAGATCCCATATCCGAGCGAGATAATCCTATCAATAAAAATATGTCTAGTCAGTTCCAGATGTAAACACCGCCGTTCTCCCTTTAGAAAAAGCCACTCCAATAGTTAATAGGTTTGAATTCAATAAGCAGTCCTGTGATATTTTTTTAGTCGCCTTTGCCTGCCATGGAGAAATCAATGCGCGCTTCCGGTTAGCCAAGCATGGCAGTCTGGGAGTGACTGTCCTTAAAGCTGCGAGTGTCACAAGATGGCCTGAAAGTGCAGCAGCTCTAGCTGTGATCAAACTTACAATGAGCCTAGTGTGCTCTTTTAGTCCCAACTGCAAAACAGACCACTCTGGTCTGATGTTATTCATTTTCTTTAGTTGCCACTCGTTTTCCCAATTAAAAGACTTGCTTTACTTTTACTTTGGTTTCTGGATTTGAGTTAAACTCATTTAGTAAAGCGGTTTTCCTACATGCAGCCTCTGTCATACCTGCTAAATGGCTAAATTGTTTAACTCTTGTCACATCACATATAAATATATATGATTCATTTATCTTTTTCTGTGGCATGGAATATTCTGAATTGAAGTAACAGGTGTCATAGTTGCTCAGTGACATTAATGAATGTAAAGGGTGAGGATCGTAGAATGATGCATTTTCCCCTCACCCACATACATATAGCCTATGTATATGTATGGAGAGAAAGGCAGAAGAAACAGAGAGGCAGAAATGTATTGTATTCATATTTCTGTCATCTGGAAGGCGTGGAAGAGCTGCTTTGAGGCACATGTATGCTCACGTTGCCTCCACATTGATGTACACAAGACTAGTTTTCTCAATTTGGACTTTTCTTGAGCGTTTATGCCACCTGCTGGACAATGTGTGAAACTACAACAATTATCTCTGACGTGACGTAACTCGCATGGAAAGTTGACTTTCTGTGTAGCTGGGGAGTCAAATGGAGCCTTTGTGAAGCTAAAGGTATAGCTCATCCAGCTGTTTCCATCACAGCAGCCACAGCTGCTCGGTCCCCGACTGACACGGGAAGCAAAAGTGGACATGCTTGAACTCAGTGTACCAGCTTACTCTCTTGTGGGGGGGTGAGTTTTGCTTCACCCTGAACGTATAAACAACAACTCCTGTGAATATACAGTATATGCCCAACAAGTGGGATTTAGAAGAAGGGTAGGTCTTCATATAGCTCAGACAAAAAAATAACACAATGCTTTGAAGGTATTGCTTATTCACAAATAGACTCCAACTTTCTTCTGTAAAAGTAAGAATAGAAATGGCAACATCATTTAAATGGGAATATTTTATAATAAAAACTACTCAAATTTGAAGACAGAGAGTTTCGAAAGCTCAGTCCAAAGGGTACCTTGTTTTTGTCCTCTTTTTTTCTGTTGTTGATGGCCTTCTGTGACTTTGCCGCATGCTTAATTAGAGGCAGGGTGATGCATTTGGAAGCCCCGCTCAGACGATGAGATGTCAGAGTTGGACTGCAGCACGGCGCGTGACTTTGAGGAGAGGCTTTCATTCGAGCATGTCATCCCGTGGGACTCTCAAAAATGAGCCTGCTGCTTCATGCGCCCCCGTGAGATGCCTGAGATGCTGTAAATCCGGACTCACGCAGACAGCTCGCATGAGACTGTGTGCTCACAGGCTGGTGAGCTTGTATGCAAACACACACTAATACCCTCAGTAAAAGGTATGGATTCAAAAAGGGATGGCATCGAGGAGCAGTAATCTGTGGACAGAAAAAAAGGAGAGAAAAAAAATCCTGAGTTTACACAAAGCTGTTACAAAAATAGAGTGTCCATGAGCCCAAACGAGCTGAGAATAACACAAGGAAATTAGCTAATGCTGTTGTCATTTTTATTTCCTTTGACAGGAAAAATAAAGCCTGCCGGTGGCGTACCACTCATCTAAACACACACCTGGTACAGTAGAAGGCCCAGTCAACTCTGAATGAAGGCAACAAGGCAGAGACAAAGCGGCGTCCAACATTTGTCATGTGTTTTTTTTTCTTTTTTTGTATCCTGTAGCAGCCAAAAAGATGTGCCGTGCATGAGTAATGTCCGTGAGCATTTCACAACCTATTCACCGATGATGCAGAGCAACAGACTGTTGTTCGTGTGACTGAAAAGGCTCGCTGTTTATCTCTTAGTCATAGCGAGGGATTCATCAAACTAGAGTCACACAGCGATCTGTCAGAGGCACCGGATCCATCGGAGGCCCACTGAGAGAGTCCGCCGGCAGACTTCAAAATGAGATTACAAGATTGCGGAGGGTGAGGACATGTGTTCCCCACACTTGAGTTGATTAAATCTCCCACGCAAAAGCTCACTTACTGTAAGCAGTGGAATGGAGTTTTGTGTTATGCCACCGCAGTCTGCTTTGTGGAAGCGCCCATCTAGAAATCGAGTGTTGTAAAACCGAGCTCGGTCCACGTGGAGGAGAAATTTCCAGCAAGCCGGTATCGTGCTCATTATTAGCTTTATCATTAGCAGAAAAATGTGAGGGAAAATGTTATCTTCTGCTCCTTGATATCTCTATTTGCTTCATTTGTGTGCAATCAAAAACAAGAGAAGCTGGCCATAAGTTAAGAGGAGAAATAAGCTTGAGCCAGTTGGGAGCACATGAATTTTTGGGGGATCCCTAACTGCATAACTAGCTTATGCAGTCAGTCGCGGAGATAAGCAAAGACTAGAAGAAAGTCTTACGGCTAATCTTGTGACCCTTAAGAGATTGTGGACCAAAGGTCAGTGGCTTTTTGTGTTTCTTATTTATTTATATTTTCTAAGTATTCCTACTAATTTAACAGGCTATATATGGGGTGACATAATAAGATGGAGAGGTTAATATTGACGGAGATAGCAGCAAGAGAATGTGTTTTTATATAAGATTAAAAGCAGTTTGATACAATATTGAAAGGCCTGTATTGTTTAAAAAAAAAGAGCTACTGTCATCTGAGGTACGGCCATCTCAAACTGTTTGATTAAATTTAGTCTCTGATTTACGTTTCATTTCAAGATATTTGTTTTTGTCCAGTATTCTGGACGAATCATTGCCATTTGTCTTTTTGAATGGTCACAAAGCAGTACTTAAATCCCAGTACGTCCGCCTCCTTTACAGTGCGATGGGGTGTAGCCATTCAGCAATAATTTATCCACAGAGATCCAATAGAGAGGCTCAGTAGCTTATGTGGATTACAGGCCTCTGCAAATTGATTGGTCCTACGCTACGCTTGTAGCATTCATGTGGTTTTAGGGGAGGCTCTCACCATCCAAACTAGTCACCAGGTTATCAGCTGCATACCCAAGCAGACCATCTCAATGCCACCCACAAAGCACCCAGACACACACACACAAACACACACACACAGGCTCACACACACAGGCTCACACACACACACAGGCTCACACACACAGGCTCACACACACAGGCTCACACACACACTTGCTGCAGAGCAGACATGCAAAGTGCGGTCACATGACTGGGCAGGGCCTATAGGTGTGGCTGGCTAGTCTGTTAAACTGGGATTACTCCAGAACACAGTTCCCTTCCTCTCTGCCCTGCTTCACTTCTCTCATCCTCCCACTTGACACCACAGAAGGGAAAGCCGAAAGAGAATGGGAACCACCTGTGGGCACAGGTAAGTGTGAAAGGACATGTGTGTGTGCAATATCAATCATCTGCTTTCAAATGTGGCAGCACGCAGAGACTCGGCAGCCTAAAATCCTTAATCCCCTTTACTCAAGAAACAGGGTGAGCTCATTTGGAGGCTAGCATTACTGTTTGAGCAATATGGCTGAAGATAGTCAGGCTCAGTTGTCCTAAGCTCACAATTTAAGGCTCATTTGTTAGATATGATCTCGCTTGTGGAGTTTCCTCACGTGCTTTCGGAATGAATGATTAAGTTGTTTATGATATTTCATACAATTAAAGGCGACATAGAGGAGTGTTTGAAGTATAACAAAATCAGTGTAGAAGCAAATCTACAAAAAAACATTATTGATTGTACTTTTTTTTGTTTTGTCGAACATTTGATCAACCAATCTTAACATCTATCCGGCCAGTGGTGAGCTACATGTGCTCGTGTGGATGAAAGTGAAGGACCGTGGCGCGTAAAGAGCGCAGCGCTGCGCCGTTTGTTCGGGAGCGCTCGACTCCGAGGGGTGCGCTCGCGCGCGCACGCGCACCCGGGTCCAGATACACAGTATCTTAATCTCAGTGCTCCCCACCATCAGTTAGAACTGAGGAAGCGTCTCGGATGAGAGGAGAAACATCTCCTGGAAAACTTCACTTTCCGGTCGCCCGGAACGGAACTTTTGACACACAGCTGTTTCGCTGGCACGCTCTGCGGAGCTCCCAGCTCACAAAAAAGCGTCGAGATTTAAAAACGGAGCTCTGAGGGAGGCTTCACCCGAGCTGCGAACGCGCGAGGTCAAAGGTGAAGACGGAGAGTTAGCAGAAACACTGACAGGAGCTCGGAATTCCGCCAGTGTCCAAGCAGGTGAAGGTTGCATTGGCTTTCATTCACTTCCAAGGAAACTCTTTGTGCTTTTCAGGAAAAAAAAAAGACTTTGCAGTGTCTTTGAAACGTTTGAGGAACACTTTAAAGGTAAAATGTGACAAATAACGCTTGTTTATTTATGTATTTTTCTTAAGGGGAAGGATTTGAGAAGTCGTCACAGCTCATTTTTGTGTTAATATCAGGGGATTAAGAGAGTTGAAGGCTTTGACTGTTTGCAGTGATGTGAACAGTAAGCTTGTGGTCTTAACTGATCAGCTGTTTCCTCAATTAAGAAAGAAACAAACAAAAAATTCCCCCCCATACTCTAGATTTTCTACAGAGTTTCGGTTTTAGCTGGCATGACAGGATGATGATGAAAAAGGAAAAGAAAACAGGAACGAGATCTTCATGCTTGTGGAGTTTTAGAGCAGATGTAAGGCATTTGGCACCGATACCCGCCCTCATGCATGCAGGCTCTCAGCACAGAACCCGTCTGAGGGCCGTTTTGATGGTGGCCAATGTGCCCATGTCCCTCAGGAAACTCACCTGACATTGGGAACGGAGCCAGATCTCCAGCGGGGGCCCCCTGAGTGTCTGCCATGTCCACCGAGATGGACGAGCAAGCGAACCCTCTGGAGAGAGACCACTCCCTGTGCGTGGTTCTCCCAGGGGGACAAGAGAAGAATGCCACAGTGCACGGAAGGTACTTAACCACGCCCCTGGCTGCAAGTCCTGACTCTGGTTGTACTATTCTACGGCACTCTCCTATTCTTTCTTTCTTTTTTGTTAGCACACCGGTGATGGACTTACTGATCACCCTGTGTGCGAGCTACCACCTGAATCCCTCGGACTACACGGTGGAGTTTCTCTCACGCAACAAGAACAACATCAGCTTCAAGCCAAACTTTCCCGTCGGCTTGCTGGAAGCAGAGAAGATAGTGTTAAAGCCCAGAGGCGCCGAGGAAAAAATCAAACGGCCGTACATGCCAGAGGTAATAAGAATGTATTAAAAAAAAAAATAAAAATAGATAGATAGATAGAAAAAAAAAGGTTGGTGGGCAAGTTCTTAAAAAAATTGTATGAAATTAGTAGAGAACGTCGCTTTTCTTTGCAGGCAACAGTACGTCTGCTGATCAACTACAATAAGTCCCACAAAACGGTGGTGCGAGTGAGTCCCAGACTGCCTCTTGAGATGCTGCTGCCGGCCGTGTGTGACAAGTGTGAGTTCAACACGGAAACTACCATCTTACTGAGAGACTCCCGGTCCAAAGAGCCTCTGGATGTGACGAAGAGCTTGAATGATCTTGGGCTGAGGGAAGTTTTTGCCAGAGACACGGCAGCCAGGGACCCCGCAGAACACCGGCGTAGGAGCACTGGAGCAGGTATGTTCACTCGCAAAGTCACTAAGGGAAAACTCAGAGACTTTGTCCTACATTCAGAAAGTTTTCACACACTTCTAGCTACTCGCTGTTTGAAAAAAGCAACCAAACCAAGCACATCTTTGTGCTGCCGTGAGCCCATCCCACTTCTCAGGCTTACCCCTAAAATCGGACCAACTCCAAACCCACTGATCCTTCCCCGGGATGTAAACATCATTAAAAAAAAAACATTTCTTCACCAACACTGTCACGCTCATCTAAATCCCTGCTTTTGCCTATTCGGCCCGTCCGCTGTGTGCCTCTGTGACGCGAAGCCAGCTGCTAGCTCGTCGTGTCTCAATCTAAGAGAGTCAAAAAGTCAGAAATGAGTGGGAATGAAACCCTGAATTCAAAGGTTGGATAAAGGACGGGGTGGTTTCTATTGGTTCTTTGGTATTTTCACATTTATTTAGAGTGGTTTTTACCCACCTTTTCTCTTGCCAATGTTGAAATTCTTCTCTTCTACAGCAGGGATCCAATTACATGATCAAATATGCAAATTAGGTGATCATCCGGGGAATAGTAGCTATCGGGTCAGAGGCCGGCTGTTGGCTGTCTCCACTGAGAATGCGTGTTGTATCCTTGCAGCTTCAGTCAATATCATGGATCCATCCACTCAGTCGGCCGTGTGGAGACATGTCTGCTCTTTACACACTTTGCTTTTAGATGCCAATCAGTGACCCGGGGGGGACACCCACTGGGCATTTTTTCTTTGCTGCATACGTAATAGAATCAGTCAAATGTTGAGCGCAATCCTAACTTTTATCCTCACTGCAGGATGCACAGGGTGATATCTGCTACATTTGCATGTTTGTTTTTTTAATGAATTCTTGGCTGCATTTTAGGAAAAATTGGAATTACATCTGCAATTTCTTGTGTCTAATGAGACCTTTGGGATCTCACTGCTTGCTATTTTAGACATATAGATTTTTTCCCCTCTCTTAAAGCCCCTCAGCCATAAGCCTGTTTTTTCCTTGATTTTGATTAAAGAAACACACTACAATAGCAGCATGTTTGTTTTGACAAGGGTCATTTAATTTAGGAATTAAGTCATTGTTTTCCATTTGTGGCAGCTGTCACGCAAACGGAGGCCATTTCAACGCCCCCGCCACAAGGTAAGGCCAACCAACAAGTGCACGTCCTACTGGCTGTACTTTCTGCAAAAGAGCATCCACTGATGGGAATGATCTATGTTGCACAGAGCTGCCAAAGACGGAAAGGAAGCAGCAAAACAACAGGGGGTTTTTCAGCCTATTTCGAAGAAAGGCCAAGAAAGCTAACATGGTACGTCATCGACCCCGCTTGGCAAAAAAAAAAGTTGTATTTTCACAATTTTTTGATCCAGATTTGTGTTTTCCCTTGTTTTTTTTTTAGGACGGAGCATCGAGCGCTCCAGCTTCTCCCGGTCGCAGCAAACAGTCGGGAGCCAGCGGGAACTCTGAGAACATCCCCACCTCCAACACCCTGCCCGCGGACATGCCCAAGAAGAGGCGCGCCCCTCTGCCGCCCATGGGGGCGTCGCAGAGCGTCCCCAACAACCTGAGCAGCTGTCACCTGAAGGGAGCACAGGTGAAAGATGGCCTTTCCTGGTTTGTTTTGTTTGTTTGTTTTTCTTCTGTCCGTCTCCCGCTCACATAATGGGTTAAAACTTCAATCTCTTCTCTGCAGAGGTCAGCGGAATGTACCTTGAGGAGTACCAAGAGGAGGGCGCCACCTCCCCCCTGTGCAAACACGCACCGACAGCTAGAGCCAGACAGTGATATTAGAGGTAAACGCTCTACCATATTTCTCTTTCAAAATGATTAGAATGGTATTAGATGTTTTTTTTTTATCTAAAAGTCTGAAAACTGTTAGTTGCCCTATTAAGATTCCGTAAAATAGAGCAAACCTTTCAGCAGACAAAATGCGTCCCGGTGTTCCTGACTGACCTTTTACAGCACTTCAGTGGAAATCAAATGGCTTTAGAGTGAGCCAAATTCTTCTATCTGCCAAATCCTCCCAACCTCAGCTGCCATCGCACGAGGTCAAGAGAGATTTAAGTTAAATCAAGATTAGAATGTCCCAGCGAAAAGGAATCCAATAGGAGATTTAGCTCTTAAATTCTGTCCACAATGTAGCTTTTATCAGTCTGAGCATTTTTACGTCCGTTCAGAGGCATTAAAATGTTTGCAGGACACGGTGGCTTCAGCCTGCTCTGTGCTAAATCCCTGTGCTGTCCCGGCTTTTGTTCCCCTGTAATAGACTGTCTGATGTTTCTCCCTCTGTGTTCAGCTCCTCTATGCACATGGCCCCCTTTTTCCTTTTCCTTTTTTCTTTAATTGATCGCTTTCACAGACAGTATTCCTTTAGTCAGACACGTGAAGGGTAAAAAGTTGAAAAGTTCTATTGTCAGCATGGGTGTTTCGGAGGCTAAGAAAAGGATGTTTTGAAACCGCCAGACTGAGCTTGTTTCTCCCTCCTGCTTGCAGACTGTCTCACCTGAAGGGGGCGATTAAGGGCCGCTGCTTTTCCTCTCCTTCCACCATCCCTGTTCCTCCTGTCCGTCCTTTTCCCGTGATGGCTTCCTGTTGCTTATTTCCCGTCTGGCTTTTGTGGATTTTTTTTTTTTTATTCCAAGTTTTCTACATACACTTTTTTGGTCTATTTTTTAACCTATTTTTTTTGTCAAAATTGTTATTATTTCCTCTGTTTTTCTAATGAAGAACTAATACACGTGCCTTTATATGAAAAAAACACAATTTAAATAAGATGTATTAACTTATGGAAATAATCTTTTTTACCCCATATGTTATTTCTATCTTTGTTTTTCTATTTCTTCGCTAGTTTTAGCTGGATTTCTTTTAATTTGTTTTCCTTTTTTTAAGTTAATGTTTCTGATGTTGAAGGTTTGTCTTGTTACAATAAAACACTGACTTGAATTTTATTCTATGACATTGAATTTTTACTCTGAATTCAAGACTATATTTAGACTAATTGCAGACTAATTCTTTTGAAAAAAAGAATCTGACTGCTTCAGAAAATTGTATGCATCTTTCTTTACATGTGACAATTTTAGCCTTTTTTCAAGGTTTAAATTAAGATGAAAAACTGCTCTTTATCTTTTTCTTCTTTTGAACCACAGACTCCTTGAGCCCACTGGAGGAAGAGAGAAACAGTGATGAGTCCAACTCTGTAAACCTGTCGCTGTCCTCGGGCTCATCGCGGCGTCCTTCCCAGTCCCAGCCTTCCTCCTCGTCCCCTCGTCCATCGCTGGCTCCTCTCCATGAGGCCACCGATCCCCGTGTGCCCAAGTTCCGAGGGAAAGACTTGTTTGATGCCCGCGCTGCCCTTGCCAAAGTCCTGACCTCTTCAGTTTCCAAAGGAACTCTGGCCAAGCGCTTGAGGAATTCCAATGCCTTCTCGAAATTCCACGTCCCCTCGTGTGTGTCCAGGACTCCCGAGTGTCCGGACGATGCTGCTTTCTGTGCCGAGCTCGAGTCCGCTTTCAGGTCGAACCTTCCGACCGAAGGCGAGTGGGAGGACCCGGTGGAAAAGAGGGGGGTAACTACGTTCAGCGTGGTCCCCCCGAAAACACTGGTCTCCTGTGAGGCCGAGGTCACTGTGAACTTTCCAGAGCGGCCCCACTTAACAGGACAAGAAAGCCCATCGACTGAATCCCCAGAGAATAATCGGCCAGAGACGGGGGAAACCCCCGGGTCACCTGACAGGCCGGAGAGTGAGAGCACGTTTCCCAGCCCAGAACCAGCTTCTCCAAAGATCCAGTCGGAAGATGGCTCCACTTCCAACCCACCCGCATGTGATTCAGATGATGATAACTGTCCAGAAAGCTCTCTCCCTGAGGTCAGTGGTGCCATAATGCAACAGGAGGAAGAGATGGAACCGGACGCTGTATCCTCAGACTGCAGGAATGAAGAATCTGGTGCTGAAAGTCACATAAACCCAGAAGACGTGCAGGAAGACGTGGTCCAGGATAGTCCCTGCTCTGGTGAGGAGAAAGTCGAGGAGGATGCTGTGGAAGAGGAAGAGGAAGAAGAAAAAGAAGAAACAGAAGAAGCAGAAGAAGCAGAAGCAGAAGCAAAAGAAGAAGAAGAAGAAATTAGCTTTCCTACCCCTCCTCCACCGGTCCATTATAAAGAAGATTCGGAGAAAGACGGAGAAGAGCCCGCCGCCTCCTCCCCGCCATATTTCCACGCGGCGCGGCCAGACTCAAACGGGCACGCAGCAGCCAGTGGCGACGCTCGTAACGACGACTCTACCTCAGCCCCGGCTCCTCAGCCCGCCGACAGTGCAAACGTGGCCCCGTCCAGATTTGCGCAGGCAGTCGCCATGGCCATCCAGAGGTCTCGGCTCCTCAGCTTCGGTAAGGCTCTGGGCCCTCAAGTGTCCAGCAGCCCGCACAGCACCTTTCCATCAGCGCCCAGATCCACTTACCAGTACGGTGAGTTTGAGTCCACTGTGCTGTAAGTTAAGCTCAGAGTTAGAAAATGTGACTTGAACAACTATATATTTGCATCTGTATATGTTTGGAGGACCTCCAATACCAAAGGCCTCTTGTTTTGCACCATAACCAGACACCTGGGATATTTGAGGACATGTGATGTCAGGATGTTTGTGGGTTTGTTCTTTGTCCCGTTGTATATACAGGAAGTCATTTTGTAACACTTGTTTTATTTCTCTTTTCGTTTTCCCCACTATAGGTGCCTGACCTGCTTCAACACTCATCTAAAAATGGAAATTCCTTTCAAGGATGATGATTACGTTCTGCTCTGAGATTACCAGCTCAAAGCTTCTTTTCTTTTTTCCTCCACGTCTTTTGGAGTTTTGCGTAAATTCCCTTTGTGTTCGTTTTATGTTTGACCTCATGTTCACAGGTTGTAACAAACATAATTTTCTGCTGTGGAGAAAGCCAAAAGTACAGGACAACCGTTGTTGAATAGACCGTATCCTGTTTTTGCTCTATTTCCTCATACATTTTCATTCAACGTGTGCCAAGGCGGACATAACACTGATGTGTGTGTGTGTGTGTGTGTCCACGAGTGGAAAAATGATAGAAATTAAGTCATTTTAATTCAGCTTTGTTTTATCTTTGTACTTGAATTTTTGTCCATCTCTGCTGCACACTGTAATTCTTTGAGGCTGAAGTAAACAAGTTAAAACCTGGAACAGTTTGGTTTTCAGTCAGCAGGTGGCAGAAGAACATCGCTCCTAAACTCAGAGACCCCGACAGCCTTTAACTTGTCAGGCCATTTTCATGAAATCCATTCTGATGGATGGATCACATAAATATTTTACATGTAACATGAGTATTTATATGTGTGTGTGTGTATATACATATATATAAACGTACATATATATATATTTGTTGAATAGAATTTCAACAATATTCCTCAAGTATCTAAGGATACGTTCTATTTGCAGTTTCCCAGTATGAAAAGACAAAAGAAACAACCAAAACTATTTGCATTATTTACCAAAGGTTTGAGATCTTTTCTTTTTTCCAGTAAAACAGAATGAATAAATGAATAGCTAAACTTGTCGGAAGCGTAATTTTAAAGCCGAGCATCTCATCGCCCTCCTGAATAAACTCGCTTCACTTTGCTCACACGTTGTTGTTGTTGTTGTTGTTGTTGTTGTGTGTTTAGCGGACCCATACCTCGGGGCAATCCTGCACAGCTATACTTGGGTGCCAAAAGAATCCGCGCTACTATACGTATCGATCCGGCCCTGGCCTTGGAGGAACAGCGAGGAGCTGTGCGAGGTACAGACCTCGCCAGAACCGCCCGTGGCTAGAGCGCGCTGTCTGCCAGGCCTGGACTGAGTGGGCTCCACTCGATGCTGCCTCTCTGCAACGCTCCTCGCCGTACCTGAAGACGCAGGGAGAGAGAGCAGGAAAGAGGGGAGGACGGGTTGCTGGTGGATGATGGGAGGCGACCGTTGACCCTGTCGTGTTTCCTTGGCGCTCCCCCCCCCCCCTCCTCCTCCTCCCTCCCTCGAGGGGGCGCATGGCCCTCAAGGGCACAGTCGTGTCACACTGCTGTTGTCATGGAGAATGCCATTACCGCCCCTAAGGGAGATGGCCACGTCCAATGTTTTTTTTTTTCTTCTTAAAAAAGTCCTCAGGAAAAGAAACACACATGCCGGAGAGGAGCTCTCTATCCGCCCCCCCCCCCCCCCCCCCCTGCCCAGAGCAGTGATATCCAATGTTAAGTGACAACTTTGGCATTATCCTTCTTTTTCCCGGAAAGGTTGAACCTCAACCTGAGCGCCAACGTCTGCGGTTACGCAGACAAAGCGAAAGCTTCACTGGTTCCCAATGCGGTTCAATGTGAAATGCTAGAGTGTCATGGTCGCTTATGGGGAGGCATGTGACAATGATTCCACCTGACCAACAAAAAGAGGGGCTCATTGAGTTTATCCTCAAGCGAAGGGATGGAGAGAGAGGGCACCCCACCTACCACCAGAGGTAGGCTTCCACCCTGTTTCACTTACAGCAAAGGAGAATCTGTGGGATGAAGATCTGTCACTGATGAAGCCTTTAGATATAATGGAAAGCATGGAAGTGATGTTAAAAAAAATTAACATACCGTTTTGAAAAAGAACAATTTTTATCTTGGCAAATTTGGCAATTGTATTGTTTGATTATACATACATATATTAATTGATGTATAACTGAGACAACAGAAAAACACAACCAAAGGATCAGGGGATGATTTCACAAATGCAGACTTTGGCAAATGCTTTGATTTGGGTAGGTGAGATTTTATCGAGTCATCTAAACTCTGGGTTATAAAAAAGGCTCCTGGGCACGGTTACAAATGGTGGCAAGCCCCAGTGACCCTGGCAAGGGAAATCTTTACCTATGTTTTCCAAGTAGTAAATGAACAAACTACAAGGGTGCCATCCAAGTCTTTGGACCCCTAAAAGTGCAATTAGGTGCTCTCTTTTCTGAGAGTGCATTTCTATAGATGTCTGAGGACATTGTTATAATTAGATTATGTGAATTGCAAACTGTGGAGCCGTTATTCCTGTTTGTCTTTGTTTTGTTGCCCTCTTCATCTGAAAATTATAATCAAGTTTGGGGAGGGGTTAATTGTGAGTAAACACGCAAGTTTCTTCTTGTATCCTCTTAAACCAGCAAGTCTAAATATTCATTATGTGGCTTACAGTAAATGCCTCTCACAATCTACGGAATTTTTTTTTTCTCCCATTTCCACACATTTGTAATAGCGAAGAATCGGCATGAAATTCCGACCTAGCCCACACACTTCACTGTGAGCGCACCCTAAAAACTCCAGCTTAAATCAATACCATGAAAGCTGGCCCACACAAATAGAGGTAATGCACATTTTAGCATTTATTTATTCCTTCATGTCTTCATTCATCTCTATTTAGCTGCTCATCTGATGTATCTGCCTGGTGGTTTGAAAAATGCCCGCAAGCCGGTAGAAGTCCGAATCTGATTATGAAAACAGCAAGTGGGCCCAAGGCGTGCTTCGCTGGATCCTTTACGTCTGATGTGTGTAAGGGGGCGCACATGTGCGTTTGTAGACTGCTAATATATGTGTGTTTACATGGCACCTCCATGCTTGGGTAGAAATAATCAATAGATGAATCACCCAAAGCAGTGGAGCTCTCCCAAGGCAGTGTGGTGCAGCTTAATGCTATTCTTTTCATTCACCTTGGGAATGGCATCCATCAGGCCCCCAACACCCCCCCCCCCCCCCCCAAAAAAAAGAGGCACGGTTGCCTAAAACATCACCAGTGCTTGAGGGGCTGCTCGGAAAGTGATGCAGAGAGAGCGCAGTTGACCTTTCACCCCCTCCATGTTTTCACTTGCCTCCCTCCTCTTTGGCAGAGCGGCAAATCACAGAGTTCCTGCCTCATTGGCATTGTCAGGCGCTTACAGTAGTGTTTCTCCGTATTGTGCTGCTGGTTAACTGGTTCAAATGTTATGGAAATGATATTTACCTCTTCTTTGATCCTGTAAAACGCCAAACAGGCTCCCCTTCCCCGTCTCCCCCTCCAGTTGAGGGAGGAAAGGATGACTTAAGGAGGGTTCTATAAAAAGACAAATAAAATAAAATAAAAAAAACAGAGAACAGTAGTAACCAAGCGGGAGCCTCCTGGTCTGTTAAAATCAATCAAATATCTGAAGCCCTGTGATTGAGCCCATGCCTTTCAGGCCGTGACGCAGCACTGCGTGCAACACGCAATTTTCAACGCACACCACCGAGACATGACGGCTTGGATCGGGATGCTTGGCAGCACTAAACAGACGAGTGAAAGTAGCAGATAATAAAAAAAGAACTGCTAGGCCCCAAGTTGGCCGAGGCCCATTTCTGAGTCATTTGCTTTCCTCATACGTCCCCTTATCAGCGATAAGGGGATGTATCAGTGTGTGTGTGTGTGTGTGTGTGTGGGAGGGGGGGGCGAAGGCGACACAGCTCTCCTCTGTGACAAAACTGATTCAATCACGGCAGGTAATTTGTCCCCAACAGCTGCTCTTTTGATCAAAAACACAAGCCCCGTGATTCCATACAATGAAAGCAAATGAATGCCTTTAATGCAAAACAATACATTTTCCCACTCTGATGTGCCCCCGGTGCGGCGTATCTTTGATTCTAATCGCTCTGCGGCCAACTGGTGTGATCATTAATTTCCCCGAGAACTTGCTGTGAGGCTCATAATGGAGCTGTCAGGGACAATGCAGTGCTGATTTATGACCAAAAGGGGGCACAGCAGCCCCTGTTTCAGAGGCCGAGGGATGGAGGGGAGATGCACTCTAATGATGATGTTGAGCTACAAGCCCGGGACTGTATTTAATTTTGGGAAAGTTGCTTGGTGCATTTTATTTATTTTTACCTTGACTTGGTGCAATTTGTGTTTGCTTGTCTTTGTTTGATGCTTATTATTATTATTATTTTTTCAAAAGCATCTTAATGTTAAGTTAATTAAATTTGACATAAAGCTAAATTTGGGACTTTTTTAAATTTATTTCTGGCCTGTCTGTAATAGGAAGAGTGAGTCTCGATTCATGCATTTGTTTTTTATTTGTTTGTTTTTTCTCAGACTTTAATTTTGCATGGTACTTATCTTAAATCTATTTTTCTCTCTGTAAACTGTACTACAGTTGTGAATCATAAGCCGAATCATACGCACCTGTATTGGTGCGTTTGAAAGCCCCTGAACTGCAGCACTCTGCAGCATTCCTAAAAAATATTGGAATTCTTTGTTGTTCTCTCCTTCTTCTTCTTCTTTTTTTTATTTTTGTCTGTCATGATTAATAATTCATCTCTTTTCTTGGATACTAAAACAACAACAAACAGAACAACAGCTTGGATAATGTATTCAGTCAAAAAGCTCCATGTCTGGGGGAGGAGGAGAAGGGACAGAGAAAATGTGCACTGGAGTGAGACAAGAGAGCACCCCGACAGGGAGAGGCTCAATGTCACTCCGCAGCATGGCGGGAAGGAAGAAAAACAAACGCCAGAGGGGGAAGGAAAAAAAAAAAAAAAGGGAAAAAAAATAATAAAAAGAAAAAATAAAGGCGGAGAAGAGAGTGGATGATACATTTTGCAAGTAATAAAACCCCAATTAGAGGCATTAGAGTCCTAAAAAGAAGGATTAGAGGGAATCATTTGTGACTGCAATCGTTTTCAGGTTGATTGCGCCATCAATGCAGAGATAAAAAAATAGAAGAAAAAA